AGTCTGCCATGGGCACAGCATGGAAGAGGGCTGATAAGGGACGGTCTGCTGTTGGCCCTCAGTAATGGAAAGATGTCTCCTTTGCTCCTCATTTCCTCCTCCCTCAGGTGCAGCTGGACCCAGGACTTGGCGTGAGGAATGGCGAGCTGTCTTTCTTGAATGGCGTCTCGGGAGCTGACATGCTTCTTCAGGACTCAAGGCTGACACCAGTCTCTGCAAAGAGGAACTTAGAACTAAGAAGCCGGAGGAGCTGGAGAAGGCTCAAGGTGCATTCTCTGGAGCTTCCTGAAGCCAGTGGGAGCCCAACACCAGGCAGCTCTAGTGGCACCTTGTGGAAAAGACCTATCTGGTCATCCCAGGCCAGCAGCCCAGCCACAGGGACCCAGCTACATCTTCCTTCTCCCCACCTCGAACCTGGGGCTAGAATGAAGGACTTCAACTGGGAGAATAGCTTCCAGAAGCTTGAGGCAGAGACTAATGTTGACACAGGGTTCACGGTCATCAATTCTGAACCCAAGCAAGCTGTTTTGAGCAGATTTCCAAAGGATTTGCAGCCAAGCCAGCTACCATCTTGCTTGCCAATTTCTTCCTCAAGGGTCACTACATCCCCAAACAGCAGAGGCTTTAAGGAAAGAGTCCACCCTTTGTCGCTTGCTGACCAAAAGGACATTGGTGCAAGGAAGATAAGTTCAAAATGTTCCCTTCATCTGCCTGTCCAGAGTGAAGAAAAAGAAGAAGAATTCTTCATATAGCTTAAAACGAATGTGATTTTTCTAAAGCACCAGATCAGATAAGAGTGTTCTAGAAAGGAAACACTGACCCAGTATATTCTGTTTCTGGTTTATCTGAGCAGGCCTGCTTGCTACCCAGGCACAGATCTATATTGCCTGTAATTCAAATGCTCAACATCTGAAAGTGCTGGGAGTGATTGTTTATTTGCTATCATGGTCTTCAGGGAAGAGCCCCACGCTCACGTTCCCTGGAGGTGCTCAAACCCAGCTGGATGAGTTGAGTTCAGCACCTATCAGGATAATTGCATTGTATGCAAATGGGCCGGATGTGTTATTATGCAATGCTGATTAGTGTATGCAATTTGGTTTTAATTTTTACTTGGGCCCCATAGCTCATCCCTCTGGACAGCATGGGCTATTTAGTCTGCAGCGCTTTTTAATTTTTATGTGACCTCCTTTGGTAACTAGGCCCTGTTGATCACATACCCTCTTGTGATTTGTCTTTAAAGTTGTTTGCATCTGGAATGAGCGAAAATGCAAAGTGTCTTGAAAATTACAAACAACTTATTTATTTTTTTCTGTTTAATGAGCAGAAACACTGGAAGTCAGAAAATGAGGTTAAAAATGAACACTGAACTCTAGGGTTTTCCTGCTCTTCTGTTTCTCATTTGCTTCTGCACTACACTGGAGAGGTTCTTGTTACAAACCAGGGAGAAGTGTAGGATTATTTGATGATTTGAAAGCACCATTGACCACAGCAGGAAGGTAGGATTGGTTGGGTCACTGGAACAGGACTTTGGTTCTTCTGACCATATTTAAATCCCCAAATTCCACTGCGGGATTCATTCTTTCATTCATTTATGTGTTCACTCAGTAAATATTTATTGAATAAGACATTGTATATCTGTTACATATGCATTCCATGGTCATTGAATCCCAAAGTATTCATTGTTTACCACTGGTATGACCCTTTTACCAACTCTTTGTAAAATTTTTTTTGTAGAGGTTTTTGCTACAGGGTGAGTGCGCCAGAAAGACAGAGAGAGACAGAGAGACAGAAAGCAAGAAATCACCCCCCGGGGGGATGGCCACGCCGCAATCCCTTCTTTTCCATTCTCCTCTCGGGATCTTGGGCATGTACGCACATGCGCCTGGCATGAGTTTAAGCCACCAGGTCTGGAACTCAAACCGTGGTTGACTACGTGAGAGTCCAGTGACAGCCATTATGCTGGCCCCCATTTTACCAACTCTTAAAAGATAAAAAGTCCAAACTTATTCCTCCAAGAACATCTCCATAATTGATGCCCACACTTTCTACACAAGGATGAGGTGAACATTCGCAAACTACAGATGGAGACTGGGCATGTTATGAGTTGCAATTATAATTGTAATGGGCAAATTCTCGGTTGCTGGTATGTTGGGGATTTGGGCTACGACTATACACGTGGTTTTAAAAAATGAAGTCTCTGTTTTGGTTAATTACAAGGTTGTTCTATTCCATGAACATCACTCTCCAGAACAGATGTTACATAGTACTGTAAATGCTGATTTAGCAGCAGGATCTAATGAAGAAGTGGATACATGTTATGCCCAGTTGGAGAGAAAGATGAATTCAAGTCTATAGACAAATCTTGCAGAAGTGAGTCTAGGCTGAGCACCGGTGCTTTTTCCAGCAAAAGGGATAGGAGAGTTGCAAGTGGACAAAAACAAGACTTACATGTTGACTTTTTTTGTTCTTAAAACATCAATTTACTCTCATTCTTATTTATACTGGGTGTGTGTGTGTGCGTGCCCAAGATCCCAAGAGGAGAATGGAGGAGAAGGGTTTGTGGCATGGCCATCCCCCATGGGGGATGATTTCTCGCTTTCTGTCTCTCTGTCTCTCTCTGTCTGTCTAGCAAGCGCACACGCCCTATAGAAAAAACCTCTAAAAAAAAAAATAAAAAAAAAAACGATATTGAGACTTAGGAATGGGTGCCTTACAAAATTGACTTGCAGAATAATATACTCTTTCTTTTTTTTGGAGAGATTTTCGATATAGGGCGCGTGCGCTCGCCAGACAGACAGAGAAAGACATAGAGACAGAAAATGAGAAATCACCCCCCAGGGGGGATGGTCACGCTGCAATCCCTTCTCCTCCATTCTCCTCTTGGGATCTTGGGCATGCACGCACACGCGCCCAGTGTGAGTTTTAAGCCACCGGGTCCAGGACGTGAACCGCGCTCGACTACGTGGGAGTCCAGCGACATAGCCATTACGCTAACTAGAATAACATACTCTTAAAATGTCATCTACTCTAGGGACCAGTGGTTGGTGTAATGGCTATGTTGTTGGATTCCCAGGTAGTCAACTGTGGTTCGAGCCCTGGACCTGGTGTCTTAAACTCACTTTGGACGAATATGTGTGCGTTCCCAATATCGTGAGAGTACATGCACCCTATAGCAAAAACCTCTCAAAAAAAAAAAAAAAAAAAAAAAAAAAAAAAAAAAGAAAAGGTCATTTACTCTCTTCCCAACTTAGGAATTCAGTTTACAGCATGATGAGATAGAAATGCCCATAAATTTGTGTAAAGGCTCAGGTTTGGATCTAGGTTTTAAATTATACTGTTTGCATGACCATGTCAGTTTCTTTTTTTGTCTGTTTGTTTGTTTTTTAAGATTTTAAATATTATTATATAGGGTGCTCACCAGAGACACAGAGACAGGGAAAGTGAGAAATAACCACCTAAGGAGGATGGTTATACCACAATCCTTTCTCTTCTATTTTTCTCTCAGGATTTTGGGTATGCATGCACAAACACCCAGCGTGAATTTCAAGCTAGATCCAGGACTCGAACTGCAGAATTGGCCATGTGGGATCCAGTGCCTTAACCATCATGCCACCTGCTGGTGCTGAAGTTAGTCTCATCAATCCTCTGTTGCTATATCTATGGTAATGAAAAGTTGTTAGGCGAATCAAGATTATATATATATATAAACATTTAAATATTAAACACTGCAGGTGTGTGAGATATTTTTATTAATATTATACCATATTTTATACTAATTTCTATATTGTGTTGTTATAATACAATTCATCCTTGAGATCCACCCTTTGAAAATGTCATGAGGACAGAGGATTTTTTTGAAGCAAGTTTTAATAAAATCAACGAGACAATAGAAAATAAATATACCTTTCTAAGGTTTTTACTATATGTGCCATTTAGTTTATGTTCCTGTAGCTAGGAGGAAAGTTATGCATAACAAATAGCTGAATATATCCTAAAGTTCAACAGAGATTGCATACAACAGGGTAAACTATGAAGTAGTTTAATTCAATATATCAAATTAGCCAGACTTAATTATATCGGATTTCCTAAAATGTAAAATGATCACCACTTTAAAAATCTGAAAGTCTTCTGGTGGTCAGAATATTTTAGTTTTTCCTATATAGGTGTATTAAAAATCAGGGGGCCAGCAGGTGGCATGGTGGTTAGGGCAGTGGACACTTCCACGTGGCCAACCATGGTTCAAGTCCCAGACCTGGTGGTTTTCTTTCTCTCTCTCTCTCTCTCTCTCTTTCTCTGGTCAAATTAAAATAAATAAATGAACAAATAAAATAAAATAAATAATTATTTTTTAAAAATCAGCTGCATTGCAGCTATCTGGTTATTTTTCATCTTATTAATATTATTTCACACACTCACAAGCACCATCTGGACGTTGCTAAAACAACAGGAATGGTAGCAAGTAAACTTGTACGCACATTTGCACATTAGCAAAAGCAGAGCAGGGATGTGGGATTGGCGGGTGGAGAGAGGCTCAAGGGATAGCTTCACCACCGTGTGTGGAGGGAGGTGAGCGGGCACCTCATCTACTCTCTCCTACTTTCAGCTGTTATGCTCGGATGGGAGCTTGGTACAGCTGGGCTTGGTCTCTTGGCTACACAATCTTCTCAGCTAACATGCACCAAAGAGGTGCTGATGGAAGAGCCCCTTCCTTCCCTCCCAGAGAAAGATGGAGAATGGGGAAGGGAAACATGGAAGAAGAGAATGGAACTACGAGGACACGCCCCCTTTTCTGTTGATTAAAAACTCCCAAATCTCATTTCCGTATTACGAAATGTATTTAGAAATTCCTATGAATAGTTACTACTGTCTGCCTATCTAGAATCTTCTCTAGGCCCTCCTATGTTGATCCACACTCTCTCTTTTTCTTTCTGCTACTTCTCTGCTCTGCCCCCTTACTGTTCCTTTCCCTTCCCTTCTCTCTCTCTCTCTCTTCCTCCCTTCTTGTGTGTGAATGTGGTATTCTCTATTCTTTACAGCTTTAAAATATGTCATGTTTGGGACCAGCGGGTGGTGTAATGGTTATGTCACTGGACTACCATGTAGTCGACCATGGTTTGAATCCCAGACCCAGCATGGCTAAAATCCTGAGAGGAAAACAGAGAAGGGACTGTGGCATGGCCATCCCCCCTTGGAGAGTGATTTATTATCTTCTGTCTCTGTCTCTCTGTGGAGAGTGCACAGGCCTTATAGCAAAAATCTCTCCTAAATAAATAAATACATACATACATATATACATTGTGTTTGCTGCATCTCCCAGAGTTCCTGAGGATGTCACATAGCCGAACTCAGAGGGAATGAGAAGGATGAGACCTTCTCTGAGGAAATTCTCCCATTTCCAATTCATCTTCATGATTCTGCTCTGGGACTATGACGCCCACATCACTTAGAGACAAACCTCTCTCCCTGCACTGCGCTCTCCTTCCCACCTACTGACACTTTCTCTGAGGTGTGAGGTGTTTCCCAAACATTTCTCACCATTGTGAAACACTCACTGTTGCACATGATGGGAAAAGAAAAAAAAAATAACACTTGTTGCTCCTGGGACACATAATTAGAATTTATGCTATTAAAAACCTTGAGTCTGCTAAATTGTATTTTCAAATACTTTTTTTAAAAAAGTCTTCTGATTCTAGAGAATCTACATAGGCTACTGAAGACACAGTTTCTCTGTGCTTATCATGGGAAGAAAAGT